AATCAAGAGGGCAGAAAGTACCTCTCAGGCTCTCCAATAGCCGCCAACTATGTTCTCCCGTTCGCGGGAGGTCGCACTCATGTTGCAGTAGAGGGTAGCATGGCCGGCGCCATCCCAGTCATACCGGCTGACCTGTGATAGGTCTACCAGAGCACTCAGCAGATAGAGTCCAACGATGTTCCCCTTATCGGAGAACAGAGTGGTCCCGAAAAGGAACATCAAAAATCCCTGAGTGTACTATGCTATCTCCTCTAGAGTCTCTGGCTCAGTCCTCCTGAAATGTGTGGAAAACCCAGTGTACCGGACCCTGCCCGATGATCTGTCAACTAGTGGGCGAGCTCCCAATAGATAAATCTAGGCAACCTCCCATTCGCCCATGTCCTCGTCATAAGGGATCGACCAGCCTCCCACGTTAAGGCCTGTAAGCACAGCAAAGTCGAACGGGGTCATAGTCATGTCTCCGGTAGCTGAGAATTGAAAGGAGTTGGTGGTGTCCCACCATCTCTTTACAAGGGCGCCCATCAATGTCCTGCTAGCAGGATAACGAGATATCCCCGTGCAGAAGGGTCCGAACCTTGCCTGGTGAACCCAATCACGAACGGCCTCCGGGAGCTCCGTGTACCACTCCCTCGCAACGATGGAGCCATATCCTCGTGTAATACAGGAAGATACTTGCATTCAGAATGAACACATGTATTCAGTTCAACATGAAAATATGAGCTGGCTGCAAATCAAATCAATTACAATGTTGTGAGCTGTGTGTTCAACATGAAGTATAGGAGTTGTGCTGTGTGTTCAACTCAAGAGTTTGGGCTGTGTGTTCACCATCAAGTTTGGGCTGCGTGTTCAGACTTCGGAAATAGTGGGCTGTGTATTCACCTCAACAGTTTGGGCTATGTATTCAACTCTCAACAAGTGTGTGCTGCGTGTTCACAATCAACAATGGGCTGCGTGTTCAGAAATTCAAAGTTTGGGCTGCGTGTTCAACTGTCAACAAGTGTGTGCTGCGTGTTCATAATCAACAATGGGCTGCGTGTTCAGATATTCAAAGTTTGGGCTGCGTGTTCAACTCTCAACAAGTGCGTGCTGTGTGTTCACAATCAACAATGGTCTGCGTGTTCAGAAATTCAAAGTTTGGGCTGCGTGTTCAACTCTCGTCAAGTGTGTGTTGTGTGTTCACAATCAACAATGGGCCGCGCGTTCAGAAATTCAAAGTTTGGGCTGTGTGTTCAACTCTCAACAAGTGTGTGCTGTGTGTTCACAATCAACAATGGGCTGCGTATTCAGAAATTCAAAGTTTGGGCTGTGTGTTCAACTCTCAACAAGTGTGTGCTGTGTGTTCACAATCAACAATGGGTTGCGTGCTCAGAAATTTAATAGTTTGGGCTGCGTGTTCAACTCTAAACAAGTGTGTGCTGTGTGTTCACAATCAATATGTGGGCTGCGTGTTCAGAAATTCAAGTGATTGAGCTGTGTGTTCAAGATGCAAACGGAATACTGTGTTATGGACTAAGTGTTCAGAACAAGCTGTGTGCTAGAATGAGCAGAGAAACATAGCAAAAGTATGAAATGCACGGAAAATGCATAATACATTGCGGAAAATGTAAAAGTGAAGTACATTCCTCTCGTGCCTGATGGGAGAGGTGGGACTCTGGCTCCCGCAATAGCAGATCCACAGGTGCTCGATCATCAAAATCAGTAAAAAGGTAGAAAACGGTCCGAGAAAGGATGTGCCCCCGAAGGTGATACCTCTCGGGATCGAATGGCCGAACCCTCGGAGGCAAAGGCATAACGTCTGGCTCACCTCCGGCACCGGGAGGACCTCCGCCATAAGGGAAATGACCCGCATCTCAAGAAATCTGCAAAAAAGAGCGAAAATGAGCCAAAATTGGAAAAAGTCAACAAAAGTCAACCTCAGGAAAGGAAAAAGTCAACAAAAGTCAACTCCCGAGAAAATGTTTCCAATATTGAGACAAACTTACCCCAAGTGGTGAAAATGGAGAAAGAAGCACCGAAATCAAAATTTAATCGGTTTAAAGTGAAGAGAACTGAACAGCGGCAGCAGCAGCAGTGTGATGAGACTGATTCCCAGAATGAGACTGATTCCGGAAACGATAAAAGCTCCCCCGAGGAGAACCACCGCGAGAAGAGTGGCTGTTGGAGGATGAGCGGGATGGATGGCGAAAACAATCCTGTTGCAAATGACCAGGACTAAGTTTGTTGCAATATCGGCAGGTTCTGACCGAGCAATTGACCAGGAGATGTGTGGAAGGAAGGCCCCGATTCTGACAGTAGAGGCAAGCAGTGGTCCGCTGGGTGAATGATGGCCGGTACGGGGGAGTGGCAAGAACAGAGTCCACATGATGAGTTTGGAGAGTACCAAGACGAGTCTCTTCTGATAGCAACTCAGAAATAGCTTGTTCCAGAGTGGGCAAGGGATGGCGATGAAGAAGAGAGGCACGTACGGGCTCAAAAGATGAAGTGAGAGCCATGAGAAAGTGCACCAACCTTTGCTGATTACGATAAGCAGTAAATAAAATAGCATCTTCTTAGTGAGGCCAAGTTGGTTCGGAAAGAGCAAGCTGGTCCCAAACGGAGTACATTTGAGAAAGGAAGTCATTGATGGACTGACTAGATTCTTGGCGCATCCTATGAAGTTGGCTCTGAAGTTGATATTGATGAGCAAGACCAGTGGTCTGGTATCGTTCTTTCAAAAAATTCCATATGTCCTTTGCAGGAGTATTTACAGAGTCAAGCTGAAAGCGACCAAACTGAAGACTGATAGACGTAACAGAAGTATTTCGAAACCAAGTAATGATTTGGTAATTCTTACTATCCCATTCCTCAAGACGATCCTCATATGTAGGAGTAGCAGGAGAAACAGTGGTTTCAGCAGTGTCTTTCATTGGTTGGGTCATGTCCCCGGTGATAATTCGCCAGAGCTTCTTTCCTTTGAGGAAGGAAGACATGGCTTGGGCCCATAGAACATAGTTTGAACCATTCAAAATAACGGAAATGGGATGGGAGGCATCAGGACGATCCATAATACTAGTTGAGTGGGGTTAAAGCAATAGGAATAGACCTGTAGGAGCAAAATTTGGTAAAACAGAGTGTACCAGTGAGTCCGGAAGGTCGAAAATAGCCAGGAAAGGTATGCTGGACAGAGATGATGTCAGCAATGATGTCAGCGGCGCACGTTAGCAGAGTGCAGGGAGGAGCACGTTAGCAGGAAGGCGGCGGCGCACGGTAGCGGACAGGCGCAGGCGCGGCGCATGGTAGCCGTTTTGGCGCACGCGGGTGCACTGTAGTGAAGCGGCGCACGAAAGGCGCACAGTAGCAGGCGCGGCGTACGGGAGTGGTAGGGCTGACGTCAGCCGCGGTTGTGTGGGCGCGTGGGGGCGCGTGGCGGAAGTGAGTAGCAACAGAAGGCGCGTGCGGGCGCGTGTGAGAGTGGTGGCGGAGCTGGTGACGCGCAGAAGACAAAGGCGGCGCGTGTGGGCGCGTGGAGGGTGTTCTGAGAACGAGCTTGGTGCCGTTGGAATCGTGAGGAAATTCCGAGCGGTTTGATGTATGCCACTGTGTACGGGACTAAACACCAAAATCGAAAATTGCCAGAAATGTAACAGTGAGTCCGGAAGGTCGAAAATAGCCAGGAAAGGTATGCTGGACAGAGATGATGTCAGCAATGATGTCAGCGGCGCACGTTAGCAGGCTGCAAGAAGGAGCACGTTAGCAGGAAGCGGCAGCGCACGATAGCGGACAGGCGCAGGCGCGGCGCACGGTAGCCGTTTTGGCGCACGCGGGTGCACTGTAGTGAAGCGGCGCACGAAAGGCGCACAGTAGCAGGCGCGGCGTACGGGAGTGGTAGGGCTGACGTTAGCCGCGGTTGTGTGGGCGTGTGGGGGCGCGTGGCGGAAGTGAGTAGCAACAGAAGGCGCGTGCGGGAGCGTATGAGAGTGGTGGCGGAGCTGGTGACGCGCAGAAGACAAAGGCGGCGCGTGTGGGCGAGTGGAGGGTGTTCTGAGAACGAGCTTGGTGCTGTTGGAATCATGAGGAAATTTCGAGCGGTTTGATGTATGCCACTGTGTACGGGACTAAACACCAAAATCGAGAATTGCCAGAAATGTAATACTGGGCTCTGATACCATGTAAGATTGTTAAGAGAGAAAAGAGAGGGACTGTATAGACTGTATAATCACTTGTAAGATTGTTAAGGAGGGAGAGAGAAAAGAGAGAGACTGTATAATCACTGTCTGTTATTATGTTTGTGTGTGTTTACAAGAGACTAGGCTCTCTCTCTTTATAGAGAGGAGAAGGCGACAGTGGAGCGTAATGCAATACATTAAACAATATATATCTACTCCTAAAGCTGAAGGTGTGTGCTGGTGCTCGTGGGTGTGCTTGGCCTTTACAGATTCTTTACATGGTGCTCGTGGGTGTGTTTGGCCTTTACAGAGCCTTTACATCCTTTACAGCTATATCGTGTATAAGTGTGATGCATATTGTATATTATATGTTAACATCAACAATTGACATTTCGTAACATGAAAGACCCAAACTACAAGCTAGTACTTTTTGTAGGACTTACCATTTCTGTTGGGTACAATGCTTAAGCCCTTTTCTAAAACATCGTTCGAGTATATTCTTTCTATCTACATACAGAAGCAAAGCTGAAGGGTAAACAATTGTTCATCAGTTACAAATTTCTCTCTAGGAAACATCAATTTCACTTTCCACCACCACCACCACCACCACCTACATAATGAATTTAGAGTACAAAAAAAAAAAAAAAAACTTTATAATTCCAACTCATCAGACCCAGGCAACGAAACCAGTCCAAGGCAATCACCTTCCAAACTGGCAAGAATCATGAAATCTCTTTCTATGTCCCAATGTTTCTTTCTCCATCTCACAGCGAAGACCACAAAACGAATAACCACATCATTCTCTATCTTTGAGTGGTCATCGCTAATGAAGATCTCTTGTGCTTTCCGTTGGGCATAGTAGAAATTTGGCATCTTTTGAGCTGATAGATAAATATATTTCATGGGTCCACATCTCAAGAAGACCCCCCTTCTATGTATCTTGTGCACAACTCCAAGCATGATCTCTCCATTGACAGGTAGGAAGGTGCGACAGTGAAAGGCCACCGAGAAGAGGACGTCCCCTGATTCATCTTCAAACTCACCATTGCCTATGCTCTTCAGTTCGGTTATTGCAAGGAAGCAACCATGCTCCTCTGTGGACTTAATGAGCAGCAATTCCTTTTAGAGGCCTGTCACAACTGAACTTTGGGGGACCACTCCATTTCTGTCCAGGCTTTTTGTGGGGATAGCCACACGCCCACGTATTTCCATTTCACGAAACATATTTGTTATCTGCATTAAAATGGCCAAACATATAAGGGAGACAATGGGATAATCTTCCGTTGGAAATGCATTAACACAGCAGAGATGTTGCCAATTTTCAAACTAGTACATTGACAGTTCAAAACAGGACGTATTGAATAAAGCCAAAACATTAAAATGAATACAAGGTTATAAAACGATGAAGGAATTACAAGCTTAAAAGAGTAAGAGTGGGAGCAGATCATATAGGTAGTGAATTTGGCATGGCAAGACAGTTACAATCCTACAACCCAATTTTGATGACCAATTATCTAAAATTTATTGGTAGGGAGGATGTAAATGACCCAAAATAGATGATTCAGTATGTTGTCATAACTACTCAACTCCACTCATCTATAAAACATGCTTATCAATCCAAATCAAGTCCACTCATCTTAATTAAGGACATTACAACAGGCTCATCTAAGCTAATTTAGTAAAAAATGATCGACTTCGAAATTCAATACATAGATATCAATCAGTCAAAAGTGGAAGTAGAAAAACATCAATGAGATACATCAATCTAAAGTGGAGTTAAATAAGACTACACACAAAAACTGTCTGTTCAATCAATGAAAATGAAGCACCAAATTCGTCCAAAGTTTTTGAGAAGTTTGAAGATATAGAGGGTATGCCCATATATATAGAGAAAATTTTGCTATTTTGTTTCATTTTGGGTTTCGGTGGCTCCATACTATAAGGGCATTACTTTACTTCTGATTTCTAGAGATCGGAAAGTCATATGTAAGTCATATAATAATTCTTCAATTCTTGTATTTTCCTTTTGCTTTCAGTGAACTTCTTGTCCACTTCTCTGTACTCTGTAATTTTATTTTTATTAATAAATTCCTCTTTGTTGTCAATAAAAATAAAATAACACTAATCCAATACTAAATTCTGACCAAGCTAAACCACTTTAACATGACTAGAAAATTGGATTTTCTACAACTGCTCTACTAGTGTCTAAAAGTTGAAACCTAAGATGCAAGGACAATTTTAAGAAGCTGTCTCTTCGCATTGGACATGTCGAACCCCAATATTCCTGAAGACACACATAGAACTACATCCTATTATTTTTAAAATATTTTTAGAACTAGACAAGCTTTGGACATTTGGGTACACATATCCAACATTTAGACACACAAAGCCCATTACTAGTTTGTAAAATAAAAATAAAAAATATCGAGAGTCTGTAATTGACAAAAAAACATGCACAAAATATGCTAAGCCACTTCTGCCATGCCTACAGAATTGGATTTCTAGAATTACTATACTAGTGTAAAAAAAGAAAAAAATGTAGTAAATGAAAGCTAATCCAATACTAAACTTTAACTATAGTCCAGAACAAGCGCAGCACATGCTAAACTACTTCTAACATGCCTAGAAATTGAATTTCTAGACCATCCATACTAGTGTTGAAAGTTGAAACTTAAGAAGCATGAAAACTTATTAAGAATGTGCATGTCCGTGTTGGACACATCGAGCACCAATATTTCTGAAGACAGTAATAGAAATGCATCCTGTTATTTTTAAAAGTCTTTAGAATCAGCAAAGCGTTGGATACTTGAAAGGCACACATATCCATTGTTTAGACACATAATACACATTACAAATTTGAGAAAAAAATATATTTGAGAGTCAGTAATTAAAATTAAAGCAATGTGAGTTTATACCTATTAATCATTCATCCTATGTTTTAGTTTCAAGAGCTCTAAAATCTAAATTTCAAATTCGTTTGGGATAGTGTTTTCAAAATAGATATGAGGACCTTCGTCCAACTTTTTTTCCCTCTATTTCTAATACATAGGATGTGGAATGTGATTGCTTACTATTTTGATAAAATATATAATAAAAAAAATTACATTGACCACCCCTAAGGTTCAGAAAAATACAATAAGCTCTACAAGACTGGCATAATTACACTAAAACTCCCTTTTAGCAAGCAGAATTAATGCAGGAGATGTGCAAACGCAAGAATAGTCAATTATAAAATATACAGGGAAAATAAAACATATAGTAATATCATTTTTTAATTCATATAACTAATGAATTACTAATGAAAAAGGAGCTAAGAGTTATGTGAATTCAAATCATAAGCGAGCATAGTGTAATTATATGCCAAACTTGTGAGGCTTGGTGTATTTTTCAGCCTCAAGGGAGGACAGTGTAAGTTACCCAAATATAAATGTATTTGTAATGTAAAAAACAAAGCTATCATTATTTTCATGTACATATAAGCATACATTTATTTGTTTCTGTATCAGTAGCCTGTCATGTTTTTATTTTTTTTTTTTTTTTTTTAAATTGTCTTGTTGGCATGTCCTTACTGTGTAGTATCCACATGAACCCATCCCCGTTTGTATCCATGCTTACTTTTGCTTTGCCAACTATGAGAATTAGAGAATAATATACATCTACAATCAAGAGATGATCAAGTTTAAACTATGTCAGAATAACTCAGCAACTCAAACAACAGGGGAGCTGAGAGAATTACTGAAATTACCCCCACAGCTAAAAGCAAAAGAGAGTCAAATTAACTATGCTGCACCATGAAAAAAAAAAACATATTCGGATTTGCATAGGTTACACTTGGGACATTGCATAATCAAGTCATCATTCAAGTTGAGTCCTACTTTCGTGTTTTAAAATGTTAGTTGCAACTTTCTCAAGATTTGTGATTTTTTTCTTTCTTGGTTTGGAAGTTTTAGGAGTTCGTCGACTTAAATAATCTCCAGATTTAATGGACTTGGAATGCAGTAATGATATGTGAACTCATTATCGATCAAATAATGTATGGGTCACCTACGTCTCAAAAATTCCAACTTTTCATTTTAAGAGTCTTATTCCTAGTATTAGAAAGACCCACCCAGCAACCTAATTACTTTTACATGATATGATCATTTGAGCTTTAATTCAATGACTTTTAACTCCTATAAATTTGTAAAAAGCTTTTGGAGCTATATGTTATTTGTGAAACAGCCTTACCATAGGGGTGATTCCTAAGGTATCCTAATGCTGTGTTTGGTTGGAGGATTTGGAGAGGGATTTGGAAAGGAAAAGGGAAAAGGTGTGTGAAATTTAGGTATATTTTATTCTCATTTCACCTACCTTTTCCATTTCCCTTTCCAAATCCCTCCTCAAATCCTTCAACCAAACACAGCATAAGTGAAATTCCCATATTCTTGTGTTTCTTCTCCTTCTCTTCTTTTTTTCTTTCATATAAAAATTGTTCATAAGATAATCGTTATAGCCCACAACTATTGCTATTTCCCTAAAAAAACTCACATCCTCCTCCTTTATCAATCCTAACCCTTTTCCATGGCCTTCAGTTTTATCCTTACAATTCTAGAATGCCTATTGTCCCCTCATTTCATTTTGTTGACAAGTGGAGTATCTATGGTACATAATTTCCTAGAACCATTAATATCAAATTCCAGCAGCCGCACAATTTAAAAATCATGCCTACTACAACACCAATCCCCAAACTTGTAGCCTTCGTTTTACCTTACTAAAATCTAAACCTACTACCTCCAAAATAATATCCCTCCTAAACACCGTCTTCCCTAGTCCATTCCTACCCTTAAATTACTCTCTCTTTATATAGTTAATAAAATAAGCATTTCCACTCAAATCTCAACAGCATTCACAAAAAAATAAATAAAAATAAAAATAAAAAAAATAATAGGCATTTCAATTATCACAAAGGGTCAAAAAAGTTACCCACCTAACAAACTGCAGATCATGCCATGTTGATTGGGGTACTATTAAACTATATGTTGAGTTGTAGAGACCCTTATCAGATAGACCATGACAATTGAGTTGTAGAGACCCTTATCAGATATACCATGACAATTGGGACACCGTTGTATAGGGCTGTTCAAAAATCCGTTCAAACCGGTAATCCGGACCGAACCAGACCGAATCGTACGGTTTGGTTCGGTTCTATTAAGAATTGGTTCGGTTTCAGATTAAGAAATATGAGAACCGTAAAAACGGTTCGGTTAATGGATTTTATGAAAAAACCGCGGTTCGAACCGAACCGAACCGAACCGAATTTTAAAAGATATATATATATAATATCAAGTTTTATTTTTATTAATTGGTTTTTTATAATTTTAATGATATTAGGATGATATAGATATGTAATATTAAGTAATGCCTTAATATTATTAGTTTTTATCATGAGTTAAATGTAATTAGTTTGAGTAATTATTTTGCTAATATTAACAATTTGTTTTTGTAAATAGAAATTTTTGGAACCGTAAACCAAACCGAAACCGAACCGTTTTTTCGGTTTGGTTCTGGTCCGGTTTTACAAGTGTAACGGTCTGGTCTGGTTCTCAAAATCACAGAACCGTTAGGATTGGTTCGGTTCTTGGATTTTCTCAGAACCAAACCCAACTGCCAGACCGTGTACACCCTACCGTCGTAGCTGAGGATGAATACCTTTAAACAACGTTCAAACATAATGCTCCTGTCCATCCCTGAAAGCATTAAAAACTCAGCATACTTTTACATCTTCAAAACCGCAGTGTACAGGGCACTAGTAGAACAGAACTATTAAAAGACTTGTAAAGAACATATTGCATGCCTACAAACACATCAAAAATTGGAAATATAATGAAATTAAAAGACCGTGCACCCACTTGAATTTAATTAACACTCCGTCGATGCAATCAAAAAAAAAAAAAAAAAAATTTCACACTCCGTCTGTACAAGTAGAAAACACAGCAAACAAATGCACATTCTCAGTAAATAGACGAACTAAATTCTAAAAACCCAACCAATAAATAGAATCCCTATTTTAAAAAACTTTGTTCCAAAAGTTCCTGAAAATAACCGTAAAATTTCCTTTTTGATGCCACTATGTTTCCCATTAAAAAAAAAAAAATAAAAAATTTATAATTATCAAAATAAAGCATTCAAGCATTTTTCAGGCATTTATTTGAATGTAAAAAATATTTTTTACTTGATTTAAAAGAGTATTGTTCTACCTTCCAAGAACTCAAAATACTATTGGATTTCGTTTCCATAAGTTGTTTTCCTAATAAACACCCAATCCCAATGTTTAAAACATATACATTGTGGCCACAGTATACATATATGCATACTCATGTCGCTTACATATATCTTCGTAGAAGCATACATGATAAGCAAACTAAATACATATATTGTCAAAACTATACAACTTACAAAATGTAAGACAAACTGAACTAGGTGCTGTAGGACAATCTTCACTGTATTTAAAAAGATTTAATTCTGTTGTGTACAAAACAACAACAAGAATAAAAGAATAGAGAAAAGGAGAGAATTTGTTTGATTACAAAATCAAACTCGAAATAAAAATAAATAAATAAAAAAACAGATTTATTTTGTTACAAAAACAAAATTAAAAATCTGAATAAATAAACAAATAAAAACAACACTGAAAAGTAAATTAAATAACTTACTTGATTTAATTTCTTCGAAATATTTTTCTGATCAAGTCCAGTGTTTAACACTGTGTCCTTAAGACAGATTCGTCCTCTCCACGGTGGCTTTCAGAATTCGACGTCTATCTCCCAGGATGAAATGATCTACCACAAACAATAGCAGCACTACTAATTGTTTGCTTTTACAAACACACTAAGTGTTTACACTCTTTCTTTCGGAAATAAAATGCAGTAAGATGAAGAATAGAATTAACAGAGGTGAAATACGAAATTTCTGAATGAAAACATCAAATGAGGGTGGTCCTATTTATAGATGTGAAGGTGGCTTGTTGGTTTTGAATTGAACAGGTATTGTGGCCTTGGTTTTGAATCTGAACAGGTATGATACTGTTGGGTTTATTATCAAACAATTCAACAATTCAAACAAGATAGCAATTACGGAGAAGGGCCCTGTTTGGGTGTCCACTAATTCCAAAACAGTTTATTTCTGTTTGAAAACGGGAAGGCCCTGTTTGGATGTACAGAAAAATCCAAATCAGTTTAATTGAATTCCTGAATTTTATTTTACTAAAAAATAAAATTAAATTCAAATGTTTTTGCCCAAAAAGTTAGAAGCCCAACCCAACCGCCCGACCAGACGGCGGGGGGGCGCGCGCGTGTGTGGTGATTTTTGGTCCAATGGGTCTAGCCCATTTTGCCCATAACCTCCCCTCTAAAACACTTGGTACCCCTTGGGGACACCCCAAGTATCTCACCTAAGCCTTAATAAACCCTTTCAAAACTTCCCACCAAATCAATGTGGGACAAGCAATTTACAACCTTAAGGAATTTCCACCAAAACTCCATTTCCATGGAGCAGTCTTTGGCTTCAATTTCCTATTCACTCGGTAATGGTTTTGAGCAACCAAATATACCACGTGAATCACAACGCGGCATAGAACGCGTTACCACTTTGACCCGAGTAAATCGACACTCGGAGCCCACCTAAAAAATAGACCGAACTTAAAAAAAAATTCTGATTTTATCCAGAATTTTATAACCATTTCCAACAGGTGCCAACTTTAACACAAATAAAGGTTTTTCTAAATGGTGACTAGAATTCAAATGATTGCGATTTTTTTCCCCTTTTGCTGAGCCCCGAGACGTTTAGGTCTAGAATATCATAACTAAAGTTGGTTACCTTAGTTTTAGCTGGATGCCATACTAAATCAACTATAGTTTGAAAATTGAAATTCAAGTCAAGAATTAAAACCCCATATTTCCAAATTGCAAATTGAATGGGGGAAAAAAATGTAAGATTCAGGTGCACTTTAAAATAGATCAAAATGTATAACACACATGCTAAAAAAAGTATATTGTAGAAATGTCAGTCATGGTTATAAATAGCTTCTTTATTGATATCCTATGAAGCACAATCACTTCATTTAATCATCATATCCGTGTCAGACATAGACACTCCTCGAACACACTTGGACTACATGTTGGACGCGTTACATGGCATGTCAATTTTTTTTTTTTAAATATCTTTCAACAGAACATGTTACGAGATACATCAAAGACATGCGTCTTATGTCCAGATCAGACAAGCCAAAAGACTAGGGGCAGAGCTAGAATTCATGTACATTGGGGAAAAACCTCACCTAGAATCACACACGATTTTTTTCTATTTGAAAACTAAAATAAATAATTTCTAAACAGGGAAAAAAATGGGAAAAATCAAACCATATTTCAAAAGTAAAAATTAATGTTTCGCAGAATTTTAGTGCGAGCAAATTAAATATTTTTTAAATAGATAAAAAAATATTTTTAAAAAAAAAAATTGCCAATTTTGGGAATCATATATGAAAAATAAAATTTTTCAAAACTCAGTGGGGACACCCACTTGAATCTACATGGCTCTGCTCATGCACAGGACAGGACACATTTGAGGTTTTATTATAATTTTAAAAAGGTGGTTTGGTGATCAAAGTATAGCATTTAGAGACGGTGAAAATATAATGAAAAAACGAAAACTTTCCCATTATATGTTTGATTTTCAATAGCTATACAATAATGTTTAAATTTTAGATTGATTGTTTTATTCATGTTAAATTAGTATGAGTTTTTTTTATTATTTTAGGTTGTTTGTGAATTAAAAAAAAAAAATTCATATTATTGTATCTCTTTTGTGTTCATATCTTCTTTTTTTTTTTTTTTTAATTTGCTATGTTTAGTGTCCATCCATATCCATGTTCGTACTTCTTAGGTGTGATATCTCAGCAGCACATACATTTCTAGGGAGGAGCCATGTCCATGTCAAACTAGTGTTGGAAACCAACACTCCTTTCTTAATTTTCTTTAAGTAAAGCAACCGCATGTTAAGGTAGAACCAAAAGGACACAAACTTTGTTAAAAAACCGAAAAAAAAAAGGAGGGGGGAGGGGGGAATCAAAAAGACGCTTGTCAAAAATACTCAACACGAAAATTGGAGCGCGGATTCTCGGCCGCATTACCCAGCAGCCGTTTCCAGCAGCCCCCAAAACGACGTCGTTTTGGGGGCAAAGTTTCAAAAAAAAAAAACGCAGAGGAAGAGGGAGGAAGGAGAGGGAGAGGGGGAGAGGGAGGGAGGAAGGAGGGAGGAGGAGGAAGCAGCTCAGGCTGCGAGCTCGCCGTCGCAGCTCGTCCCTCGCCGCCCGCTGACGCCCGCCGTCCCTCGTCGCAGCACCTGCAACCACCGTCGCCTCCGCCTCCGGCCGTCCCCTCTGCCTCCTCCTCCTCCTCCCCCTATATTTATGGCCCCCTCCAGTCCGGCCCTTCCCTTCCCTTCCTCCTCCTCCCCTCTCCTCCCTCCTTCCTCCCTCCCTCTCCCTCTCCCCCTCTCCTTCCTCCCTCTTCCTCTGCAATTTTTTTTTTTGAAACTTTGCCCCCAAAACGACGTCGTTTTGGGGGCGACAGGAAAGGGCGATAAGAAACCGCGACCGACGATCCGGATTCAAAAAAAAAAAAAACCCAAAACGACGTCGTTTTGGGGGGCTGCCGGGTTGGGCTGCCGGGTAGGGCGGCTGAGGATCCGAATTCCGAAAATTGAGCTCTCCACTAAAATCTAAAGCAAAAAAGGATTCACAAATCAATCTTTTACACCAAAAATGGAAAATATGCAATAAAGCATTTTGAGCTTTTGCACTTAAAAATTAGTATCTTCAAATGTATGTCGATCACTTTCTCTCCATAGGCACCACATGAGACACAACGGAGCAATCCCCAATGCCTTTTTTCTTCCTCTTCACCTTACATCAACACCCCCAACATTTCATCAAATTAAGAACTAAATCTGACATCACCTAATGAACTTCAAAAATTGGTAGAATCCAACATTTCTTGGACACTACTAAAAATGCATCCCACACTTTTAAATTTAAACATGTC